CCCCCCTTTAGGTACACATTGAACAGGGCTTACCCACTTACTATCGGAGATGGGAAATACTATACATATGACAAGCCACTTAATCACTTCTTTTCTTATCACCTCTTTCATTATTGGATTTAGGCGGCGTTGATGTTCCACGCTAGGCTTGTGTCCCTCCTCCATGAGTATTTTGTGCATGCAGAATGCAGGACTAATACCCTTTATGTCAGACATTGTCCAACCAATGGCATGCTTGTGCTCCCTCATTACACCTAAGATCTTTTCTTCCTGAAATTTAGATAAATAAGAAGAAACAATCACAGGTAAAGTCTTAGAACTACCCAAATATACATAATGAAGATGAGATGGTAAGGGTTTAAGTTCCAGTTTTGGAGCCTCCTCAACTGAGGGTCTAGGGGGCAGGCCTATTGTCCTATCCAGAGGCTCAAACTGGGATCTTTCTCTTATGTATTCACAAAATGCATCCAAAATTTGCAACATCTCCTCAACCTCTTCTTCCAGTTCTAAGTGATTGAACAACATCAATGCCTTTTCTAGTGCATCTTCTTTAAATCCACTTGTCTCTACTGCTGGTTCATTTATCTTCATCATAGAAATTATGGCCAGGTCCTCGTAATGAAGAGGCAACGGAATGGCTCGATAAACATTGAAGACCCCTTCTTCATTGTCAACCCTCAGGATCATCTTACCTTCTCGGACTTTGATAATGGCATCTCTAGTTGCCAAAAGAATTCGTCCCAAGATGATAAGAACTAACTCATCAGCCTCGTAGTCCAGGATGATAAAATCTGCAGGGAAAATAAACTTCCCAATCTGCAGCAAGACGTCCTCATTTACCCCCTCAGGATAAACATAAGATATGTCAGCTAACTGTAGAAGCACCGTGGTGGGTCTCAGAGCTCCTAATCCCAATTGTTTGAACACTGACAATGGCATCAGATTGATACTTGAACCCAAATCACACAAGGCTCTACCCACATCAATTTCACCAATCCTCACGGGGATGGTAAAACTACCTGGATCCTTAAGCTTTTGTGGAAGCTTATGTTAAATCCTGGAAGTGCACTCCTCAGTAAGTGCACCGGTCTCAAATTCAGTTAACCTCCTCTTATTTGCCACTATATCCTTAATATATTTTGGGACCTCACGGAGCATGTCCACCAAAGGGATGTTCAAGTGTATCTGCTTCAGCATATCTAAAAATTTGTGAAACATGTGGTGATCATTCTTATTTCTCAGTCTTTGAGGAAAAGGAGGTGGCACCCTCTCTGATATTTGCTCAGACTCTCTTCTGTTTCTCTCATATACCTCTACAGGTTTTGGCACTCTTTCTTCTTCGAGCCCAGACTGCTTTTATTTTTTCTTAGCCACTTCTACTAACTCTCTCCCATTTCTCAACGTCACTGAATTGACTTGAGAATTTTTCTCTATATCACTTGGGAGAGCTCTAACAGGTCTAATATTCTGATTGTTAGCAATTAACCCAAACCGCCTCTCTAGATTTCTGAACGATGTGCGCAATTGTTGATTCTCTTTCTGATTGTCTAGCACGAGCTTTTTCATCATGTCAGTCAAACTCTCTTCTGATTGTTGTGGAGGTTGAGGTGGATGATTATAATTTGCTTGAGACCTGAAGTTCTGATTTCCACCCCAAGAGAAGTTAGGATGATTCCTCCAGTTCAGATTGTATATGTTACCATATTGAGCATTTTGATTCATCGGCCCTCTAGCTTGTTGCCCCACGTAGTAGATGGATTCAGGATTCACGGGGCATATGTCACTTGTGTGACCTTCACTACATAACTCAGAGCAAGTAGACATTTGTTGCACATGCTGGATCTGTTGTGCTTGGTGCATTATCATCTTATTCAATTGATTTGCTAATCTCGCTATATCTACCCTCATGGATGAGAAATCATCAAGCTCGATCACACCTGTTGTCTTTTGTTTAAGTGCTCTTCGTGGTTCCCCATGTACTTGCCAATTATTATAATTAGCAGTGAAATTGTTTAGCGGGATCTGGATCTCACTATAAGGTCTTGCCATGCAACTACACCCACATGCTGAGTCAAGATTCATCTTTGATGCCTCATCCAACCCATCAACGAAAGTGTGACCCAATAATTCATCAGCCTGACAATGATGTGGGCAGTCTCTGAGTACCTTCTTGTATCTTTCCCAAGATTGACGAAGAGTCTCGCCATCTCGTTGTTGAAACCCAAGAATCTGTCTCCTCAGCGACTTTGTCTTCTTAGTGGGAAAAAATCTTAATTAAGAATTTCCTTGCTAATCACCCCAATTGTGGATTGAGTTTGCGGACTCCTTTTGCAACCATTCCTTAGCTTCCCCTAGCAGTGAAAAGGGAAACATTATCAGCCTTAAGTGTCTGTAATTTCCAGGAAGATCTGAATGTGCCTCTACGGGTCTTCGTGAGATACAACCACATATTGCCCTGTGGACTGAATCAACTCTACCATGTACTGTTTGAGTTCAAAGTGACTCGTGATCTCAGGCTTCACAATTGCCTGAGTCATATTAGCAAGATTGGGCCTCGCAACTTTTATCACCGGACGCCCTTAATTATCTGCCATCTCTATTGGCTGTGGTTGAACTACGATGTCCAACTCTCTTACAATTCTAGTTCTAGCTTCAACTTCCCTCCTCACTCTATGAAGTGTTCGTTCGTTTGTTCAAGAGAAGAGTCTGCGTTATCACAAATAAAGCAAACTAAAAATTAAAACTTGAACAAATAACGAATAAAAGCTTAACTTAGATAAACAATCAATAACTAAGTCACCGGCAACGGCATCAAAAACTTGTTGGTTCCTCAAGTACATGCAAGTATACATGGCCGTCAAGTAATAAAGTGACTCGAAAGTCGGATGTCGAACCCACATAGACTTAGATCAATTGTCAACTAAGCAAACTAAAATCAATTAATTGTCCAAGATATTTAATAATGATGTTTTTCTATTAATCTACTAATGCGAAAATTAAACAAGTAACAACTAATTTATCAAGAATGCAAATGTGTATGATGAGATTTCAATTCAGAGGAGGTAAGAATTCTAGGGTTGTGGTTAGTTTATCAATACTATTAAGTTCAATAATCACACTCGTTAATCCAGATTATCTATGATTGCTAATTAATCTGATCGTTTATATGAATAGCATGGTCCCACAATACTACTCGTCTGCCCACAATATATTAATCATATATTCCTATGGTATTGAGTCTATCATGAACAAATATAATACGGTATTCAATTAAGCAAGATTGTTAGGTATATTCCTATACTAACCGCGAAATCGTCCCCTGAGCCACGGGTTCAGAAATAAGCTCTCTCTAATTCTACTCTAATCTAAACACGGCTTTCCCCAAGCATAGCATAGATAGTAGGGTGAATTGGTAGCTACTACAATTCACAAGTTAAAACTAGAATTAAAGAAACAACCACAAGATGATAATCCGAATTAACAAAGATGTTATTAATAAACATTAATAATCATGTCAACCACAGCCCTAGAACTAGAGTGCTTAGCCACTAATGTTCGTAGTAACAATTTTCCAAGTATTTTGCATAAACAAATTACAAAGTAAAGATAAAGTAATGAAGAACTCGATGATTTTCTCCTCCAAAAGTTGTTACACGTGATGTTCTTGCCTCCGGTGACAAAAACTCCTCTACAAATAGTGTTTAATAACTATTTATATGTGTAGGAAAAAAGCCTAGACGAAATAACCAAGTCCAAAACCAAAAAGGAGATAAAATAGGCTTAAAAACCCGGAATACCCTCGCTACAGGCCTCGCGGCGCGAGGCAAAACGCGAGCTTCATCTCGCTGTAGCCCGTGCGACGCAGCTTTAATCCTCATCTCGCCTGCTCTAACGCGAGCAAAGTAGCTCACTACGCCTGCTGCTGCTTCGATTCAATTTTGTTGCCTAACATTTCCAATTCACGTTTTTGTTTCTTTTTTCAATTGTTCTTTTTGTCTTCTTTTGATTTGTCTCTTTTGTCTTCCTTTGTAATGTTAAACTTTAATCCTTATATATCCACTAATTAAATAATCATAACTCCATTCTTGTAGTGTATAAAATACACATAAAATCTTTACTTTGCTCCCAATTTCGTCTTTAACGTACCTACACATAAAATAAACTCAATTAAGCACAAATATTGTATAGTTTAGCATTAAAGCCCCAAAATGTAAGGTAAGTAATGCACTAAAAATATGGAATTATAGCCAAACATCACTACCCCACACTTAAACGTTGCTCGTCCTCGAGCAATCAAACTACACTTTATATAGACAAGACCTTTTAAAATAATTCTCCTAACTCATCACACCAAGAATCTTTAAAATAGACTAAGCATAAGGGTGCAACATCNCAGACTCACCTTTTTAAACAATTCTCCTAACTCATCATACCAAGAATCTTTAAAATAGACTAAGCACAAGGGTGTAACATCTTCACCTCAAGATTTGACTCACAAGTACCATGCATTATTTACCACTCACTCACTTAAACATAGAGGTCAATGACATTATTACCTTTCCTTCATGAATCAAGTGCCCTCACACAACAAAAGAGAGTAGTTCCACACACATTAAAATTAAAGAACAATTAGGAACTCAAGATAGGAAGAATTCACTCACTCTCAGAAATAACATTCATATGCCACAAAANGAATTCACTCACTCTCAGAAACGACATTCATATGCCACAAAAGATGTACCATAGGCTTGCCCGTAGTGTACTACCCTACTAATCGAGCTCATTCAGTCTAGGATCAAGTATGACTTTAATTGGTTGTAATGTAGGCTGTGGGTCGGGTAGGATACATTTGGATATAAGAGTGACTACACCTCCCTAAGCATATTAATACATATACTTTAACATTCAAACCCCATACTTATGTCAAACCAAACTCCACCTTCACATCAATGTATATTACTCCATACTTCTTTTAAGCACAATTACATCAAGAGTCACCACTATCAAGGAATATTTTTCACAGCAATACAACTATATGTATATGTTTTTCTTTCTTTTTCAATTCACGTGGCTCTTACTTTTTCAAAACAGTGCACCTTTCTCCTTATTTCATTAGTTCCGCTCAAAAGCCAAACCAACCACCCCACACTTTAACTTTTACAAAGTTCATTACAATTCAAGTGCTCATGAGAGGTTAAAAGGTTCAAATAGATGGTTAATTCAAACAAATGGGTAAGGCTTGTAATGTGGTTGCCAAAGAAATAGGATTACAGGCTCAAAGGGATTAACTACGATACATAACAATTAGGCGGGTAAACTATATATATATATCTGGCTCAACAAAGAAACGCCTATATCACTTCCAAGACTGAACAAAACTATTATTTCGCTTTGTAAACACACGGGGCAAGTTCTAGACATCAAATGCAATGCACAAAATAACACACAAACCACACACACACATGGCACATAACTCACTCAGGATCGGATTCATCAAGACACTCTAGTCAAAGAAGTTAAGAAAATTTAAGATCATACAATTTAAGGTACTTATACAAGAGTCAAAAACTGAGCCTAAGCGTCACAACCAAAGTACTCACTATTCTCAAGGCATAACAAAGTCAAGAGAAGTTGTTTCAATTAAATTCATCTCACAATGGCTAATAAAACTAACTACACCTGGTTCAAACAAAACCTTCAGAAAAGAACGGCTGCACAAAGAAAAACCAAGGGGGACTTACTACACTACATACAAAGAAAATCTTTTTGTCCTTTTTCCTTAGACTTAAATCCCTCAAGAAAACTGTCTAGGAGATCCATCGTCGGGAAAAGTCCAATTTTTCTACTTTTTTTTTAATTTTTTTTTTCACAACTACTAAAATACCAAAACACTACACAACTAAGAAAACAAAAATAAGAAGTTAAAATTTTTCTAACATCCTACTACTAATTATCTAGAGAATTCTCCCACCCCACACTTAATAGAGTGCAGTGTCCCCAATGCACAAATAAAGTAAAACAATAACGAGGGTGGACAAGAAACTCCCTGAAAGGCCTAAGGCCAAAGCAATAGCGGCTCACGGGGTACTCAGACTTCCCCCAGGTATGGTCCTTTGTGTGAGCACCTCACACTTAGTTCTCACCATCTAACTCGCTTTTGCACACTTACTATACCTGTGTGAGCATCCTATGATTATAATCATGCAAAACAAAAACAAACACTACAGCAATAATAAGATAAAAAATAAAAATAAAAGAAAGCAGTAAAGATGGGTTGCCTGATTTAACGTCGTGGCACGACACAGAATCTCGTCTAATCATTGGCAAGTAACACCTTCGACTTCTGACAATCAAAGTCACCTCCATAATAGTGCTTTACTCTTTGTCCGTTCACTAAGAACGTTCTCTCATCATATAAGATGCGCAGCTCAATTGCACCATGTGGAGTGACTCTCACTACCTCAAACGTGCCCGACCATATCGATTTGAGCTTCCCCAGAAAGAGTCTTAACCTCATATTGAACAAGAGAACCAATTAGCCCGGTTCGAACTTGCGATGGTGGATATGCTTATCATGCTAGCGCTTGGTCTTTTCTTTATATAACTTGGCATTCTCATATGCATGCAAGTGAAACTCATCAAGCTCGTTCAATTGCATCACCCGCTTTATACACTCTAATTCTGCATCAATGTTCAGCTTCTTTATCGCCCAATAGGCCTTGTGCTCAAGTTCCACCGGTAAATGGCATGCCTTCCCATAAACTAGCTTGTAAGGGGAGGTTCCGATTGGAGTTTTGTAGGTAGTCCGGTATGCCCATAGAGCATCATCAAGCTTTGCAGCCCAATCTTTCCTACATGCACTAACCGTCTTCTCTAGGATCTACTTTATCTCTCTATTTGAGACTTCAACTTGCCCACTAGTCTGAGGATGGTAAGCAGTTGAAACCATATGTTTGACCCCATATTGCGCTAAGACATTGTCCAAGAGCTTGTTACAGAAATGGGTGCTCCCATCACTAATCATCACTCTCGGAGTGTCGAACCTTTTAAAGATATGCTTTTTCACAAAGTTGACCACAACCTTGGCATCATTGGTAGGAATAGCAATGGCCTCCACCCACTTCGACACATAGTCAATGGCCACCAAAATGTATTTACACCCACTGGATAAGGGAAACGGACCCATAAAATCAATTCCCCACGCATCAAAAATTTAAACCTCCAAATACTGTGCAATGGCATCTCATGCCTTTTCGTGATTGTTCCTGTTCTCTGGCACCTATCACACCTCCTCACGAACTCATGGGCATCTTCAAACACCCTAGGCCAATAAAAACCCGATTGCAACACCTTAGCTACCATTTTGTCACCCGCATAATAAGCATCATAAGGCGATGCGTGACAGTCATGTAAGATAGCATTTATTTCAGATTCGGGAACACATCTTCTCATTAACTTATCGGTACAAGATTTGAACAGAAGTGGCTCATCTCACACATATGACCTCACATCTCGCAAGATCAGGCGACATCTCTTCACTTGCCAGATAGTTCAAAAAATTTGCATATCATGGCACCTCCCCAGCGGTAATGGGCAACAATTGCTCATCCGGGAATGTTTCCTTGATGACATCTCCCTCGGGTTCATGATTCCGAGTTTCTAACCTGGATAAGTGATCAACCACTTGATTCTCTATTCCTCTACGGTCTCGAATCTCCAAATCAAATTCCTGCAAGAGTAAAACCCAACGGATTAGCCTTGGTTTAGCATCTTTCTTTTCGAACAAATACCTGATGGTTGCATGGTCCGTGTAGACGATGACTTTGGTGCCAACCAAATAGGCCCAAAATTTATCGAACACCCACACTACAGCAAGCAACTCCTTTTCTGTCACAGTATAATTTATTTGAGCAGGAGTAAGAGTCTTGCTTGCATAGTAATTGGAGTGAAAAATTTTGGTTCTCCTCTGGCCCAACATGGCCCCAATTCCACCATCACTAGCATTACACATCAGCTCAAATGGATCTTTCCAGTCAGGAGCTAATATGATTGGTGCACTCACTAACTTCTTTTTCAGCTCCTCGAATACTTTCAGACAAGCATCGTCAAACTTGAACGGCACATCCTACTCTAACAACCAGCACAAAGGAGAAGAAATTTTTGAGAAATCCTTTATAAAAAGGTGACAAAAACCTACATGTCCCAGTAAACTCCTAACTAATTTCACTGAAATCGGTGGTGGCAACGTTTCAATTGCTTCCACCTTAGCTTTGTCAACTTCCAGTCCATCTTTGGAGACCTTGTACCTCAGCACTATACCTTTACGTACCATAAAATGGCACTTTTTCCAATTCAGTACCAGATTAGTCTCCTCACACCTGGCAAGCACATTAGCAAGATTGGTCAGGAATTCATCAAAAGAAGAACCAAACAAAGAAAAATCATCCATAAAAACCTTCACAAACCATTCCACCATATCGGTGAAAATAACCATCATACACCTTTGAAAAGTCGCAGGTGCATTACACAACCCGAATGGCATTCTCTTAAATGCATAAGTGCCATAAGGGCATGTAAAAGTGCTCTTTTCTTGATCTTCCGGGGCAATAGCAATCTGATTATACCACGAATAGACATCAAGGAACTAATAGTATTTCTCTCCGGCTAACCTGTCAAGCATTTGATCAATGAAGGGGAGGGGGAAGTGATCTTTTCGTGTAGCATTATTCAACTTCCTATAATCTATGCATATTCGCCAACCAGTCACAGTCCTAGTTGGGATTAATTCATTTTGTTCATTCACTACAACAGTCATACCCCCCCCTTTTAGGTACACATTTAACAAGGCTTACCCACTTACTATCGTAGATGGAAAATACTATACCTGTGTCGAGCCACTTAATCACTTCTTTTCTTACCACCTCTTTCATGATTGGATTTAGGCGGCGTTGATGTTCCATGCTAGGCTTGTGTCCCTCCTCCATGAGTATTTTGTGCATGCAGAATGCATGGCTATTTCCCTTTATGTCAGACATTGTCCAACCAATGGCATGCTTGTGCTCCTTCAGCACCCTTAAGAGCTTTTCTTCCTGCAAATTAGACAAATGAGAAGAAACAATCACAGGTAAAGTGTTAGAACTACCCAAATATGCATAACAAAGATGAGGTGGTAAGGGATTAAGTTCCAGTTTTGGAGCCTCCCCAACTAAGGGTCTAGGGGGCAGGCCGCTTGGCCTATCCAAAGGCTCAAACACGGATCTTTCTCTTATGTATTCACAAGATGCATCCAAAATTTGCAACATCTCCTCAACCTCTTCTTCCAGTTCCAAGTGATTGAACAACATCAATGCATTTTCTAGTGCATCTTCTTTAAATGCACTTGGCTCTATGGCTGGTTCATTTATCTTCACTAGAGAAATCATGGCCAGGTCCTCGTAATGACGAGGCAACTGAATGGCTCGATATACATTGAAGACCGCTTCTTTATTTTCCACCCTCAAGATCATCTTACCTTCTCGGAATTTGATAATGGCATCTCCAGTGGCCAAAAGTGGTCGTCCCAAGATGATAGGAACTAACTCATCAGCCTTGTAGTCCAGGATGATAAAATCTGCAGGGAAAATAAACTTCCCAATCTGCAGCAAGACGTCCTCAATTACCCCTTCAGGATAAACATAAGATATGTTAGCTAACTGTAGCAGTACCGTGGTGGGTCTCGGAGCTCCTAATACCAATTGTTTGATCGCAACAAGTAGACATCTGTTGCACATGCTGCATCTATTGTGCTTGGTGCATTGTCATCTTATTCATCTGATTTGCTAATCTCGCTATATCTGGCCTCATGGCTGAGAAATCATCAAGCTCGATCACACCTGTTGCCTTTTGTTTAAGTGATCTTCGTGGTTCCCTATCTCTTTGGCAATTATTATCATTAGCAGTGAAATTGTCTAGCAGGATATGGATCTCACTATACGGTCTTTCCATGTAACTACCCCCACATGCTGAGTCAAGCTTCATCTTTGATGCCTCGTCCAACCCATCAACAAAAGTGTGACCTAACACCTCATCAGTCTGGCAATGATGTGGGCAGTCTCTGCGTAGCTTCTTGTATCTTTCCCAAACTTGACGAAGAGTCTCGCCATCTCGTTGTTGAAACCCAAGAATTTGGCTCCACGGCGACTTTGTCTTCTTAGTGGGAAAAACCTTGATTAAGAATTTCCTTGCTAGATCATCCCAATTGTGGATTGAGTTCACGAGGTCCTTTTGTAACCATTCCTTAGCTTCCCCTAGCAGTGAAAAGGGAAATAGTGTCAACCTGACATAGTCCTTGGAAATGTTCGGATAATTGTAAGTGTCTGTAATTTTCAGGATGTTCTGAATGTGCCTCTGCGGGTCTTCATGAGATAGACCCACATATTGCCCTGTGGACTGAATCAGTTGTACCATGTACTGTTTGAGTTCAAAGTGACCCATGATCTCAGGCTTCACAATTGCCTGAGTCATATTAGAAGATTGGGCCTTGCCGCTTCTATCACCGGACGCCCTTCATTACCTGCCATCTCTATTGGCTGTGGTTGAACTACGATGTCCAACTCTCTTTCAATTCTAGTTCTAGCTTCAATTTCCCTCCTTACTCTATGAAGTGTTTGTTCGATCTCAGGATCAAGAGGAAGGATATTGTTTGCGCTTCTACTCCTCCGCATTCAAGAGAAAAGCATGCTTTATCATAAATAAAGCAAAGTAAAAATTAAAACTTGAACAAATAACGAATAAAAGCTTAACTTAGATAAACAATCAATAACTAAGTTCCCGGCAACAACGCCAAAAACTTGTTGGTTCCCCAAGTACACGCAAGTATGCATGGCCGTCAAGTAATAAAGTGACTCGAAAGTCGGATGTCGAACCCACAGAGACCTAGATCAATTGTCAACTAAGCAAAAAAATTAATTAATTGTCCAAGATATTTAAGAATGATGTTTTTCTATTAATCTACTATTGTGGAAATTAAACAAGTAACAACTAATTTATCAAGAATGCAAATGTGTATGATGAGATTTTAATTTAGAGGAGGTGAAAATTCCAGGGTTGTGATTGGTTTATCAATCCTATTAAGTTCAATAATCACACTCGTTAATCCAGATTATCTATGGTTGCTAATTAACCGGATCGTTTATATGAATAGCATGTTCCCACAATACTACTCGCCTGCCCACAATATATCAATCCTATATTTCTATGGTATTGAGTCTTTCATGAATGAATATAATACGGTATTCAATTAAGCAAGACTGTTAGATATATTCCTCTCCTAACAGCGAAATCGTCCCCTGAGCCACGGGTTTAGAAACAAGCTCTCTCTAATTCTACTCTAATCTAAATACGGCTTTCCCCAAGCATAGCATAGATAGTAGGGTGAATTGGTAGCTACTACAATTCACAAGTTAAAACTAGAATTAAAGAAACAACCACAAGATGATAATCCGAATTAACAAAGATGTTATTAATAAACATTAATAATCATGTCAACCACAGCCCTAGAACTAGAGTGCTTAGCCACTAATGTTCGTAGTAACAATTTTCCAAGTATTTTGCATAAACAAATTACAAAGTAAAGATAAAGTAATGAAGAACTCGATGATTTTCTCCTCCAAAAGTTGTTACACGTGATGTTCTTGCCTCCGGTGACAAAAACTCCTCTACAAATAGTGTTTAATAACTATTTATATGTGTAGGAAAAAAGCCTAGACGAAATAACCAAGTCCAAAACCAAAAAGGAGATAAAATAGGCTTAAAAACCCGGAATACCCTCGCTACAGGCCTCGCGGCGCGAGGCAAAATGCGAGCTTCATCTCGCTGTAGCCCATGCGACGCAGCTTTAATCCTCATCTCGCCTGCTCTAACGCGAGCAAAGTAGCTCGCTACGCCTGCTGGTGCTTCGATTCAATTTTGTTGCCTAACATCTCCAGTTCACGTTTTGTTTCTTTTTTCAATTGTTCTTTTTGTCTTCTTTTGATTTGTCTCTTTTGTCTTCCTTTGTAATGTTAAACTTTAATCCTTATATATCCACTAATTAAATAATCATAACTCCATTCTTGTAGTGTATAAAATACACATAAAATCTCTACTTTGCTCCCAATTTCGTCTTCAACGTACCTACACATAAAATAAACGCAATTAAGCACTAATATAGTATAGTTTAGCATTAAAGTCCCAAAATGTAAGGTAAGTAATGCACTAAAAATATGAAATTATAGCCAAACATCAGAAATCACTCAGGTAAATAGTCATTCGCGAAAGGGGATATCCTATGATTATAATAGATCAATATACAATCTGTAACAAGAAACTGTTTGATTCTTAATGGTAAAATACTTGCACGGTAGTTATATCAAATACGAATTGTCTTTATACGATTTCATTTGTGTGCGTGCGCGCAACGAATTAAAAGGAACCAAACATGATCTTGTTTTTCATTATCAGTTTCATGTAATTTTTTCTAGACCAAGTGAATTTCAAATGGATCAAACATGCATCACTTTTGATGTTCCCCATGACGTGAGTATCAAAATTACCCACTTAATGTTTGGCGTTATTATCACTTGCCACTAAGATTTTAGTGGAAAAGTTAAGTACAAGGATAATACGAAGATCCTAAAATTCGCCCGGGCGGTATTAGTTTCTAGATATTAATAATTTATACATATTTAATAAATTTCTAACATAAATACAGTATTTATGTAACATGTACACTAGCTCCACCCGCAAAAGAAGCCAAATTCTCATATGAATATGTGTAAAAGAAGAAAGGGGAAGAGACCTAAAACATGGTAGAGCTAAGCACCTGCTCATCTCTTTCAGTAGTAGAATTAGTTTAGACAGTTTGTAACACATGATCAAGCTTATTAGTTTAACAGTATCAGAAGAAGATTCTTTGTCTAAATAAAAAGTTGAACACTAAATTCGGACTAATAGCATCTCAAAAGCAGCAAACCAAAGGACTAATTAGAAAACAACTTGAAACTACTGATATTACTTCAAAAGTGCAGTATGTATAGTTATTGTTCAAATCTCAAATGAATTGCTGGAAAGATTATTACAATTTGTTAGAGATATATCCATCAGAAGCATTAAATACACTTTCAAAGACAAGAATTGAACCTAGCTAATACTAAGTTAGCTGAAA